AGTGGGGAGGAGTAACTGGGGAGAAAGAGACACTTTGTTGTTTTTGTTTTGTTGTTATTTTTTTTTTGAAATGAATATTTGTATATGAACTGCTGTAATGAACTTTTACACAAAGTTGTGGATGAATAAAATTTTAGTTGTGTTTGTTATTTGAATATTGCTGCTTGTGGATCTTAGATAAATGAGGCCTGGGCAAAGTGTTTGTAGAACTCCTTGTTAATAAGAGCGAAATTGAAGCTTGTAATAAACTTTTGTGCAAAATGGAATTTAAAGTTTAATAAAATGATAGGCCTGAGAAAGGTAAATGTAATAAAATGATGGTGGAATATAAAAACTGCACAATGCAGAGTGGAATTTAAAGTTTAATAAAATAATAGGCCTGAGAAAGTTAAATGTAATAAAATGATGGGGGAGTTTAAAAACTGCGCAAGGTAGAGTGGAATTTAAAGTTTAATAAAATGATAGGCTTGAGAAAGTTAAATGTAATAAAATGATAAGAACGTCTATGGAATTTGGACTAAGCAAAGAGTGGTGTGAAGACGGGGACCTGGAATTGTGACTAAGTGTGTTAGTGAATTCCACAGGTATGAAGTTTTGCATGGGTGGTTTGGACCCAGCCCTATATGTTAAGTCTGCACGAGTGTTTCATGCTCAGTTTCGGCGATTTTGTGCCACGGCCGCCCCCAACAGACCCTTTGAAGGAGAGGTCTTTGAGGGAGATGGAGGCGTTGGGCGTGGGGAAGAAGAAGAAGAGGGTGAGGCGGAGTGAGGAAGTGCCTGCCCAGAAGAGGAGGAAGGAGACGGGTGCAAGGATACAATGATCTTCACAAATTGTAGTAGCACTCCAAACAATTTATTCGGCGAACCAAACCTGTGTTCTAACTCTCTGAAAATTACCCTAAAATAATATGAAGAATAAAGGACGCAAGAGAGCAAAATGAAGGCAAGGAAAATGAATTTTCGGAATCCTCAAAATTGGAATGGGGCTGCCTTTATATAGGCTTTGTTGGCACCTATTCAAATTGAATAGAAAAGGTATGAAGAAGGGACATACCCCTTCCTTTAAAATAAAGAGACACCATGAAAGGTTTGCACCCTTTCATTCAAAATAGAGACCCTTCTTTTAAAACAAAAAGACACCATGAAAGGTTACACCCTTTCATTCAAAATGGAGTCTATTTCAATTCACAACTACCTCTTTATAAATTTATAAATTTTTCAACAAACTAATCACAGCACAAAGAACATTCCAACTCTATGAAATTCCGACATGCACAAAAGTTGTCTTTGTTCAACAGTCTCACAATAACACCTATAGAAAACATACAAAGAAATTCATGAACATGGTAGAGAATAAAAAAATTAAAGAATATTTCTTTACAAAAAAAAAAAAAAAAAAACACTAAAAGGAGAAAGGGTAAAGGGGCTCACCACTCAATCCTCACTCATACAACACAAGTAACATAAAAAAAACATAGGGAAATACAAATAAAATAAAAGGAAAAGGTTCTATTAAATTTTGTCCAGGTCAGTGTCCACCCCTTGAACATAGGCATGGGGATTTGTAAGGGCTTAAGTCAGTCCCAAAAAAGCCTCCAAGTCATATGTTTGTCTCTCTCCGAATATGAAAAAGAAAAAGAAAGAACAATGTTTTTTTTTAAAAAAATAGAAGATTTATACTAACAATTCTTGTAGTGTGGAATTTATATCACTTTAGTTCCTAACTTTTCAATTGTGATATATTTGACCTTAAATTTTGAATCTTATTACAAATAAGGATAATCAAATATGTTTCTTTGCAAACGGTCTATTTTGAGGATAAAGTCGGCATATTTGTGATGATTAACTTGTATGTTGTTTGAAATATAATGACATTTATTTAATGAATAATGTTGGCCCTTTCTTGGTTATAAAATTCTGTTTAGTTTAGTTTTCAAAATCTATTTTTAGAAAATTTTTCTAATAACTAAAAATTAAATTGGTGAAAAAAATTAAAAGCACATCATTATTGTATAATTTTATCTTTTGGGGGAGTAGAAATAATTTTTTAAATTTAATTTTTTTATATTTATTTTTGTTCAATTAGTTTCTATTTTTTCAAAAGTCAAACATGACGACAACTTAGATGTCATTATTAAATCAATCAATTAAATCAAAAAATCCAAAACTAAAAGCCTTTCATATATTAAACATATCGATTACACATTAAAAGGCTAATAACCATCCATTACATTATGACTATCCAAAAATATTTGTTAACAACAAAAACAACCATTTATTACATGATAATTATCCAAAAACATCAACAAAAACAATCACCCATTACATGATCATCATCCAAATACATACTAAAAATTAATTTGGTAAAAAAATAAAAATATAAAAATGTAAAAGATTTTATTATTTTATATAATTTTATCTTTTGTGCGTGGAAATAATTTTTAAAAATTCAAAAATAACTTTTTGACATTTATTTTTGTCAAATTAATTTATATTTTATCAAATTGATGAATTTACCTTTGAAATGAAGCATTTTTTGTTTGCAAAGGAAACAATATCTTCAATTTCCCTTATTTGAAATAAGATTCAAAACTAAGAGTCAATATATCATAATTGAAAGATAAGGGACCAAAGCAACACAAATCCCAAATTACCCCAAATTACAGGAACTATTAGTATAATTCATCCTAAAAAAATACATAATGCTTGTTAGAATTTTCTTCACATGATTCATGTAATGTTTTAAACCATGGCATACTTTCTTTTTCTTTTTTTTTTGTTTGGAGGGGGGGGTTGTTTGTGCATAGCATCAACCCATCCAACATTGTTTGTTGTCTTTGTGAAACGAAATACATATAGTAGTATTGTCATAAAGTTAGAGATTCTCTATATTCAAAACCTCATGATCCCCATACTTAATGAACAATCAATCATATGATGCGTCAAGAATCTCAAAATATAGAAAACTCAAGACACCATTATGTGATTGCGACTGCTTTTAATACATGGGAGTGGAAATTTTGGGTAAGATGATCTATGCGATTCTATAAGGAGAAGCTAGAGTACACAATTTTGTTGGAAATGGTAGAAAAATTATGAGTAAAATCAGAATTTTTTCTCAAGTTTGGTCTATTTTTTAGGTGGGCCTCGAGCGTCGATTTACTCGGGTCAAAGTGGTAACGCGTTCTATGTCGCGTTGTGATTCACGTGGTATATTTGGTTGCTCAAAACCATTACCGAGTGAATGGGAAATTGAAGCCAAAGTGTGCTCCATGGAAAAGGAGTTTTGGTGGAAATTCCTTAAGGTTGTAAAATGCCTTGTCCCACATTGATTTGGTGGGAAGTTTTGAAAGGGTTTATAAGGCATGGGTTTGGTACTTGGGGTGTGCCCCAAGGGGTACCCAAGTGTTTTAGAGGGAGAGGTTATGGGCAAAATGGGCTAGACCCATTGGACCCAAAAATCACCACACGCGCGCCGCCGTTCGTCCGGTCGGGCGGGCTGGATGTGTGGTTGGGTTGGGCTTGTTCGGCCCAATACTAGTCTTTTTGGGCCAAAAACATTTGAATTTTATTTTATTTTTGGTAAAATAAAATCCAAAATTCAAATTAAACTGATTTGGATTTTCTGTACATCCAAACAGGGCCTTTCCCGTTTTCAAACAGAAATAAACTAGTTTGGAATTAGTGCACACCCAAACAGGGCCCTTCCCGTTTTTTGCTATCTGTTTGAATTATTACCAGAATCAAATCTGTTTGAATTCAAAACCAACAGGTACCATACCTGTTCAATTTAAAACCAAGAGTCATCTTTACATCTATAAATAGGACCACCCTCATTTGATATTATATCCAGAAATTTCGTATTTCACATCTGCTTATTCTATTCTTCATTTTGTTGCATTTTATTTCTGAAAGAAAGAGTGTAAACACTTAGTGTGTTCGTAAGGCAAACAATTTGTAGTGCTGCTATTGTTTGTGGTAGATCATTTCATCCTGGGAGATAGACGTCCAAATTCTGAAAGCACCGTGGAGAGGACGAATCTGTCTTAAGGACACAGTGTCAAACACTGGACTTGATCAGAAAATAATTCGAACAAATTAAATCAAGTAAGTTATTTAATTTATTTTCAGTGTTGTTTTTATTTATTAAAATCAGATTTAAATTTTGTTTTTGTAACAAAATAAATTTTGTTTTTATTTATTTATTTTTATTTCGAGTTTGATTTTTGTAATCAAACAAATTTTCTCATTTTCTTTATTTCTTTATATTCTTGTTGTTGTTTTGTACACAACAGAATTTAATCTTTTTAAATACAGTGAAAATTGTCCAACATTCATCTAAAAATATATCATGAAAGCATTATACATAAATAATTCAATAAATTTAGAAACGTACCCCAAAGGAAACAGCTTGTGAAGCAATGCCTAATCAACTTTGATTTCCGTGTCCCTTCCTTTTCTCCCTTCTCAACTGGTGCTGTTTCCTTCCAAAATTCTCGATGAACCAATCGTGATACCTTGTGGTTATTGTGTGCCCAATAACCATCCCAACTACTATACCACTCACATATCCCGTGTATATTTACTTGGGAATGCTGAATCATTATCTTGTTCCGAGTTCGATGGTGGTGGTGCCTCTAACTTTGCACATTTCCTTGATAAAGGGTCTCCTCACAATCCTGAATTCCCCTCGTAGGAATTGTTCTTGAATGTGTTGAATTGCTTCCCATGTGGAATGGGTCTAGTGAGATGGTTATTTGAGACTGTTAACATATGAATATAATTGTTAATATAATATGTTAATATATTATAGTATGTATATAATGGTACAGATAGTTGTTAATATAATATGATTATAGTATGTATATAATGGTATAGATAGATAGGATTCTCTTTGTCCCTGCTTTCGGTCGCCCGCCATCTTTCGGCCTCATTTTCCTTATTATATTAAATTATATCATCATGATGTTTTGTATCCAGCTCCTATATTATGGAGCCACTATTTGGTTTCTGAATATAGAGTTTACATTACAGAATTCTCTTTCAATATCACTCTCTCAACTCTCTTTCAACTTGTCTTTCATGGTATCAGAGCGCAGGTGTTTTTCCTAAGTCTCTGCATCACATTTTTTTTTTCTCTTGGCAGATTGCTGCGTACCTCGTCCTTACCTAATACAAAGATTGGACAATACCACCACCTTCGTCTCTTCACGACGAAGCCAACGCCACCAGATTCATCATCATCTGACGTCTCACGCGCCTCCACGCGCCGCCTGAACATTCAGCCACGCGCTTGCTCGTTTCAGACGCGCTCTACGGGCTTCCTACACTGTCCGGTGCTATTGTGCGCCACGGCCTCATCTGCTAACGTGAGCCGCGTGTTTCTGACGTCAGCCGACGTCAGCCCTGACTGCTTTCGTGCGCCGTGTGTCTCTCGCCTGCTAACGTGCGCCGCGCAACCCTCTGCTAACGTGCGCCGCTCCTGTGACATCAGCCCTGCATCATCCTTGTTTGACCAGCTTCGTTGACTAATCCATTTTTTGCCTTTTTGGTCATATTTTTGGTCCGTTCACTCCTTTTCTGACTAATTTTGACCATCTGAATTCACTGGTAACCTCGGTTTTTTCAGATTCTACCTCATTTATGCTATTTTTCTCTCATGGATCGCCTGGACTCCTCTACCCACCCTATTTCCGTTATTCTTGACGGGACTAATTATGTCCTATGGGCACAAGCTATGTCTGGCTTCCTCAAAGGAAAGAAACTTTGGCGCATCATCACTGGGGATGTGTGCAAACCCGTTCAAGGGACCACAGATTCCGCTGCCACGGACTCCGCTGCCAAATATGTCGACCGACTGGAAGATTGGGATAGTAAAAACTATCAGATCATCACTTGGTTTCGCAATACTTCTATTACATCTATCAGCCTTCAGTTTGGTCGGTTCCAACTTGACTCTGCTTCCTCTCCTGCCAAAGCCATCTGGGATTTTTTACAAGAACGCTATCAGACTACTGGCCTTGCTCACCAATATCAGCTTCTGAGTCATCTTCACGGTATGCGCCAAGAAACAACTCAAAACATTAATGATTTCCTTTCCCAAATGTATTATGCTTGGGATCAGCTCGCTCTTTCTGAACCTCCATGGGATTGTACTAAGGATGCTACCTTGTTTACTACTTACCGTGACCAACAGCGCTTTGTTCAGTTTCTCATGGCTCTCACTCCCCGATTTGAGCCAGTACGCGCATCTCTCCTTCATCGTACTCCTTTACCCACTCTTGAGCAAGCAATTTCTGAACTCTTGTCCGAGGAAACCAGATTTGGTACTCTCCATCCGCACCCTGTGGACTCTGTTCTTGCCACTCCCCAGATTCGAAGTTCTCCTTCTTCACCTTCACCACAGAGGTCCAATGCCTGCAATTACTGTCACAACCGCAATCTTCCGTCGACTCATCTTCTGGTTAATTGTCCAGTTCGTCTTTGTCGGTTTTGCAACAAGATTGGCCCTGGTCATCTCCAGCAAGATTGCTTCCGCAATCCCGCCCGTGCCTCTCGCAATGGTCCTTCCGCCGGGAATTTTTCTCGCAGCCACTCTCACCGTTTTGGGACTCCGTTTAAACCAATGCCTGCTCAACGAACTGCTACTGCTGCCTCAGAGGATTTACCTTCCTCTGTCCCTATAGACCCTTCCACTCCAGTCTTCTCTCAAACCGATGTCGAAGCCATGTTTCAACATTTTTGGCAGAATTCCGGTACTCCTCCATCTACTGCTTTATCTGTCACCGCAGGTAACACTTCTTGGTACTTTGACTCCGCTTGTTGTAATCACATGACCTTTGACCCTACTGTTTTTACTCCTCTCTCTTCTACTCCTCATGTTCCTTCTATCCATACTACTGATGGGTCTCTTCTGTCTGTAAGTCATGTTGGTTCTGTTTCAACCTCTCACTTATCTTTATCCCATCTCTATCTTATGCCTGCTCGTACTTTAAATCTTATCTCCATTAGTCAATTATGTGAGCATGGTCTAACTGTTACCTTTTCCCGTACTGGTTGTTTGGTGCAGGACCCTCGGACGGGGCAAACTCTTGGGATAGGCCGTAAGCATGGACGTCTCTACGAACTCATCCATCTTCATGTTCCAAATTCCTCTCAGATCACAGCTCCTACCACTACTACCACTGCTACCACTGCTCCTTCTTTATCTCCTTTTCAGCTTTGGCATTGTCGTTTAGGCCATCTTTCTGTTGGTCATTTAAAATCTCTAATTTCCAGTGGTCATTTAGGTCATGTAAGTTCTGATGTTTTAGATTGTGTGTCCTGTCAACTTGCCAAACAACCTGCTTTGTCGTTTAATAAAAGTGAATCTGTTTCTCTTGCACCATTTGATCTCATCCATTCTGATATTTGGGGACCCTCTCCTACTCCTACTATGGGAGGCGCACGCTATTTTGTTGTTTTTATAGATGATTTTTCCCGTTTTACCTGGTTGTTTCTTATGAAAAATCGCTCTGAGCTCAAACAACTTTATTACAATACAGATGACGGTAGACTTGATCTTTAGATTAGGTTTCATTATCCTGGAGGCGAATTTGTTGTAACCCCCTGCACGCCTTTTGGTGGGTGCAAATATTATCTTTAAGAAAGCAACTAACATAATTTGAAGCCTCATATTTTTGTTCTACATAGACAAGTTCATCGCCAAGTTTTGAAGACTCGAAGACCACCAACCAAAGAATTCAAGACGAATTGTTCCAACAATCCATGGATGTGGCTGTCCATATTCATGAGGGAATTTCTAATGGTTGAAGGAGATCTGCAGGATAGACATTTTCAGCTTTGTTCCTTTGGCATGGATCACATTCCTTGATGTAATTCTTAATCTCTTTTTTCATCCCGGGCCAGTAAAAATCTGTTTTCATGGAGTAATTCACTCTTTGATAGGTTTTGTTGAAACTAGCATGTCCTCTTATTGGACTATCATGGAGTTATGCAAGAACTCGGCTTCGAAATGAGGATAGAGGAGAAAGGTAGAAACGCCCTTTGTAGAACAGAATGCCTCTTGCTTTAATAAACTCGATAGGTTTTCCTCTCTCTCTCTCTTCCGTTTGTCCGTTCCCTCACCCTCTCTGTTTTTTATTGACCCTTCCACGGATCTGTTCTCTGATGAGCTTACTCCACCGCCCTTGCCAGCCTCTCTCGAGTTCTCTGATGAGCTTACTCCACCGCCCCTGCCGGCCTCTCTCGAGACTGCCTTTCCTTCTAGTCTGTCACATGCCCCTGCTAACTCTGATGGTCCTGCTCTTGCTCCCTCGGGATCCTCCCCTCCTGGTGAGTCTCTCCCTCTGGCTCCTCCTGCCTCTACTCGACCACACCGGGTAACCCAACCTTCTACTCGTCTTCGTGACTTTATTGTTGGTTCTACTGCTTTTTCTACTTATGAACCGACCTCCTATCGTGAGGCTTGCTCTAATCCTCTTTAGCAGCAAGCTATGACTGATGAATTGCAGGCTTTAGGCAAAACTCACACTTGGGACATTGTTGATCTTCCTTCTGGCAAGACTGCCATTGGTTGCAAATGGGTCTACAAAATCAAAACTTGTTCTGATGGCTCTATTGAGCGCTACAAAGCCCGCCTTGTTGCAAAAGGCTTCAACCAAGAATATGGTATTGACTATGAGGAGACATTTGCTCCTGTTGCTCGTCTCACCTCTGTCCCAGCCTGATTGCGGTTGCTACCACCCGACACTAGGATCTTTATCAAATGGACGTGAAAAATGCTTTCCTTAATGGTGTTCTTCTTAAGGAGGTCTACATGCAACCTCCCCCTGGGTCTACTTATCCACCTCATAAAGTCTGCAAACTTCAGCGTGCTTTATATGGTCTCAAACAAGCTCCGCGCGCTTGGTTTGCCAAGTTTAGCTCTACTATTCATGACTGTGGTTTCACCTCCAGTTCTTATGATACTGCTCTTTTAATCTGGAACACTGCTCAAGGGACCACCTTGCTTCTCCTTTATGTGGATGATATGATTATCACCGGTGACGATCTTGATGGTATTGTATGCCTTAAACAGTTTCTTAGCCATCATTTCGAGATGAAAGACCTTGGTCCTCTCAGCTATTTCTTGGGTCTTGAAATCTTCCATGATTCCACGGGGTCTTTTCTCTATGGGGTCTTTTCTCTCTCAGGCTAAGTATACCTCTGATCTTCTCACCCGCGCTGGTCTTACGGATTGCAAGACTGCCTCCACTCCCCTGGAGCCTCAGAGTTGTCTTACACCTCTTGATGGCACTCTTCTCTCTGACGCTACCCTATATCGTCAGCTGGTTGGCAGCCTTGTCTATCTCACTGTTACTCGTCCTGATATTGCCTATGCCGTTCATATTGTCAGCCAGTTTATGTCAGCTCCTCGTACCCCTCATTATGTTGCATTAGTTCGTATCCTTCGTTATCTCAAAGGTACCTTGTTTCATGGACTTCATTATTCCGCCCGCTCCTCTCTCCAGCTTCATGCTTTTTCCGATGCTGATTGGGCTAGGGATCCTACTGACCGGCGCTCTACTACCGGGTTCTGTTTTTTCTTGGGTAATTCTCTTATTTCTTGGCGCAGCAAGAAACAATCTCTTACTGCTCGCTCCAGTACCGAGGCCGAATATCGTGCTCTTGCTGATACTACTCAGGAACTTCTCTAGCTTCGTTGGCTTCTTGCTGACATGGGTGTTTCCCCTTCTAGCGCTACTGCCCTTTTTTGTGACAATCAAAGTGCTCTTCAAATTGCTCACAATGATGTTTTTCAGGATCGCACCAAGCACATTGAGATTGACTGTCATTTTATTCGTCAACACGTCACTCGTGGTACTGTCCATCTCCATCCAATCTCCTCTGCTGATCAACCTGCTGATATCTTCACCAAAGCCCATTCTCCTGGCCGCTTCATTGAACTTGTCTCCAAACTCCAGTTGGTTGATGTTTGTCCTCCTTGAGTTTGAGGGGGCTGTTAACATGTGAATATAATTGTTAATATAATATGTTAATATATTATAGTATGTATATAATGGTACAGATAGTTGTTAAAATAATATGATTATAGTATGTATATAATGGTATAGATAGATAGGATTCTCTTTGTCCCTGCTTTCGGTCGCCCGCCATCTTTCGGCCTCCTTTTCCTTATTATATTAAATTATATCATCATGATGTTTTGTATCCAGCTCCTATATTATGGAGCCTGTATTTGGTTTCTGAATATAGAGTTTACATTACAGAATTCTCTTTCAATATCACTCTCTCAACTCTCTCTCAACTTGTCTTTCAGAGACATTTAAAAATTCAAGGAAAGTGAGAAGTGCTAGTTGCTGAGGGATTTCTCCCGAGAGCTTGTTTTGAGAAAGGTTCAAAGATTCAAGGTTTGTTAGGTTCCCCAAGCATGATGGGATTCCACCATTAAGGTCATTGTTGGAAAGGTTGAGCAACTGAAGCCCCTTAAGGTTTCCAATAAATTCTGGAATCTCCCCTTCAAATTTGTTGCTTGAGAGATCAATGGCAGTGAAGATATTCGGGATCTCCTGATATTCTGTATTTACACCTTTGTTTGTAATGTTCGTTGTGTACCAATAGCCATCACCCCAACTGTCATTGTTCCTGCGAACTTCAATGATTGTGTTCATATATTTCATCTTGTTGACATCAAAAAATTTCATTGCATTCCAATTTTGAAAGTATTTTGATGGCAAATCACCTGTAAAACCATTATGAGAGAGGTCAATGATGTGCAAATTTGGTAACTTAATTTTTGGGATTCCCTATTGCACCATAGAATTTGTTGGATCGCAAGATGAGAATCTGTAACTTTGTAAGATCTCCTAACCATAAGGGGAATGTATCATCAATCAGATTATTTAAGAGATCAAGAATCTCAAGCTCGGTACAATGTGCCAATGATCTTGGCACCTTCCCCTGTAATTTATTACCGCTGAAGTCAATCATCTTCAATTTGTTTCCTCTATTGTATGAGTGAGGAATGGGACCCTGAAAGTTGTTGCCTTCGAGATTTGGACCTTTCAAAGAATCACTGAAGTTACTCAAATATGGAAGAATAGTTCCAGTCAAGTTGTTATTAGACAAATCAAGAACATAAAGAGAACTCAATCGACAGATCAATGGTGGAAGTTCTCCTGTCAATCCATTGTATGAGACACTACAAGAGCGGGTGGATAATGGTGGAATTGGCAGTGGTCCTTGTAGCCTGTTATAAGAAAGGTCTAATTCGCCTAAATTATCCCATGGAAGGATATCTGGATGTTGCTCAAAGCCTGTTAGAAAGTTATTCCGAAGACTTAACCACGCTAGAGTTTCTACACTTGTGTTCAACATCCATGCCAGAATTTCGCCATGAATTTTGTTTTCAGCAAGGGATAGAACACAAAGTTTGTCTTGGAAGCGCAAGAAATTTGGGAATTCCCTTAAGTTGCACGAATTCAACTCTAACAACTTTAATTTGTTAATAGTGTTATTTGAGGTTTTTTTGGTTAGAACTATTAATTTGTTACCAGACAAATCGAGATAAGCAAGATTTTTGAGCATCAGAAAAATTTCAAGTTCCAAGACGCCGAGGTTATTGAAGGAAAGATATAGAAATTCAAGATTCTTTATCTCAGAGAATGACCTTGGGGTTGGGCTTTGCAATTGATTAATTGAAAGATCTAGCGAAATTAGATGGGTTAGGTTCGTTATATGGGATGTTATTTCACCACTTAAGTGATTGGAGTTCAGGTCTAAATGAGTAAGTTGAGTTAGGTTTGAAAGAACTGATGGGATCGAACCGCATAGATTGAGGTCACTAAGGTCCAAGTCAGTGAGTTCAGTTAGCTTACCAGGCAATTGTAGGGTCCCTACATTAAATTTGTTGGATGAAAGCGACACATAATTGAGTTGGGTCAAATTACCGAGTGAAGCTGGAAGGGACCCTGAGAAATAGCAGCCAGAGAAATCTAATTGATTCAAGAAATTAAGATTTTCAATCGAATCCGGTAGCTTCCCCGAGAGTTGTCAAGGAAGTTAAGTTGGCCAATGTATCCGGTACTCCAGACCAGGCTTTTCAAGGTTTGAGGTTAGTCAAGTTTTGAAGTAGGCTTCTCAGACCAAGCTTTTCAAGTTTCAGTAGTCCTGAAAATGATGAGTCAACATTGAAAGAAAGATCAATGGAAACCAATTTGGACAATTTTGAGATTTCCAAAGGGATTTGACCGGAAAATGCAGAGGAGGAAAAGTTGAGACTTGTTAGCCCTGAGAGATGGCCAATTTCTGATGGAATGCAAGAGTAATCGAAGTCATTATAAGCAAGGTTAAGTCGCTGAAGGTGAACTAGGCTGAAGAGGCTGCTGCTTGAATTGATAGAACCGTGGAGGAAACTGCTGCTGAGGTCAAGGCCAATCACATGACCCTTCTCCTGATCGCATTCGACGCCATCCCATGAGCAGCAATCACCACTATCTCCTTCGAGCTTCCATGATGCAACCTTCGGATAAGCAAAAGGATCACTAGAAGTGGATTTGTCAATTGAAAAGCTTTGTTTGAA